TCTATAGTTGATTACAAAATAACGGCATTGAATTCCTTCTAGGTTTATTATATCACTATAATTGTTGCCATAATTGTTGTTGAAGTACGTTTCGGGAAAATAGATATTACCGACGGAATCGTTAGTGAATTCAAGTATAACTCTAATAGACTAATGAAGGGAGTGAGTACTACTACTTATCAAATTTTGGTTAAATTTGGTGTTGTATTTTTGAAAATAATCAAGGTCATTATAAAAATTTATAGTGTCCATAGAGTTTTAATGTAAAGTTCATTTCACAAATAGGGGGCCTACACTGTATGTTGTATATTAAGTATGAATTATTAAATTAATGGGACCTGGGACATAAAATATACAATTTTATTTACTTATTAAAATACTAATTGATTAATCAAATTTTATCAATAAACTGTTGTTTATTTTTATCATAATGAAGGTTAATAATAATCATGAATTAGAAAAAGTTCGGAATTGATAACATATTTGGCGACTATTAACCAGATTTTTTTGGTATTATTTTGTTCATGATCTGTTTCGTAATAACGATAGATTCCTGCATAATTAAATTTTTAAAATGTTTCATTGGGTGATTATTTATTTTATAAGCTGGTAATTATAATAACAAAAATTTTAGTTCATAGCTAGTAAAGCAATTTTAATATTTAAGGAGCGAGATGCCATCCGATTATATATTGTTAATTTTATGTGTCATAATTAAAATAATTAATTTAATAAGTTATGATATTGGAATAGATAAGTTTGTTTTTTTATGTTTAAATTTTTTAAATATTTTATTTAATTTCCACAATGTCATATTTAGCGACTATGTTGCAATAAATTAGCAAACTATAAACTGTACAGTGTAATTTTCAAAATAAGCATAAGATTTAAAATGAATATCACATAATATACGAATGGACTAAGGACTAATTATATTTAATAAATAACTATGACATAGTGAAATAGCCACGTTTTCTTGGTATTATTTTGTTCATGATTTGTTTTATGATAATCATAGGTATTTAAAATTGCTTATTTATTAGCAAATTTTCGTTTGCTAAATTTTAATACAACCAGCATGATTAACTAAAATATACAAAATACATACATGGGTTTATAGCCGCACAGCCATATCAAGGCATCGACAAAGTAGGCAAACAATAGATGGGACACCAAAATCGTGGTCCAGAGGCGGAACCGGGACGGGCGGGTATGGGGCACACCGGCATGCGGCCTAACCACCTTGATACTAGGTGAATCCTGTTGAGCTACCAAAAAATACTCCACCACATCGACCAACGGGGGTGTATTATGAGGCTCACTAGACAAATGATATATCTCTATATCGCGGGGCCGTTGTGTGCCTGTATGCCAGGCGGCGGCGATCAGCGCGTTGCTGGTCATGTCGACCGGTATGAAACTGAGCCGTTTGTCGGTGTCGTAGTCGGCGATACGCATAATGCCCAACGAGCCCAACAGGGCTATACCGGTGGCCCCATTGAAATTGTCAATCCAACCGGGCATTGGCTCCTCATAGGCGGCCAATACAATCGACGGCCGCACTATAGACACGGGTAGACCCGCCGGTCGGTCCTTGTGTACAATGTGTTCGGCCAACGCTTTGGCGAATGTGTAGCAATTGGGTCGGCCCTCAAGTAGCGGTTCGGTGTACCTGTTTGTCAATGGGGTAAGAGTGTATTAAAATTAATTAACTATGGTGGTAAATGATAGAACAGGCTTAAGGGGGCTATTGGAGGGGAAGTGTTGTTTAATGATGGTGAATTTTGTTTACAGTCAAATATAATATGAAACATGTAATACCGGGTAAGTTCGGTGTCATTCATGGTCTGTACGGCGTGTATAACCTCTTCAGGTGTAACTTTCATGGGATATATCTTCTCCTCTAAGTCCGAGCGCTGACAGAAGGCATAGGCTGTGGACACGTGAATGAGTGCTTCCAACGCCCGGCACTGATGGCAGAGTCGCACCACTTGTGCGGTGCCAATCAGGTTATGAGTGACCGCATCCCTAATCGTCTCATTGAACTTCACATCTCCCGCCACGTGGAATATCACCGACACCTTTGATACCAGTAGATCCCGGTCCGAGTCCTATGTACATATTATTTTATGTAGTTTATTTATGCATGGTTAGATTTTAGAAATTTCAAAATTAAGTTTCATGTTAGTTTTATAGATAATGAAAGTAAATGTAGGAATTAAGACAATGGTATTTCTGATATTCTTGATACACATTTAGAAAGTTGTAAATTTTTAATATTTCAATTCATTGTACTGAGCTAGTTAACTATATAATACATTCATGGTGTGAAACCAACAGTGTGAAACCTAGTGTACATAATATTTTTATTATAAATATAGTTGAGTTTATTAATGCATGGTTAGTGTTTAGAAATTTTAACATTAAATTTCACATTTGTTTTATTGATAATGAAATATTAATGTAAGAATATTTATACAATGATATTCTGATATAATCAGCTAAAGAGCTGTAAATTTTTAATTTTAAAAATTTTTGCACTAAGCTAGTCAAATGTTTATTACATTTATGGTTACCGAAGTAAAGTCGCTTTAATTTTATTTTATTAATAACTTAATTAATCTTGATTAAAATAATTTCGTAAGTTTTAGTAAATAAATAATTAAGTTTTTATTAGTATTTTCCTCAAAATTTGTTATTAATAATGATAATTCAAAATTTATAAAAATTATACTATTAAAATTATGGTCCTTAGTTATTTAAATATTTTATTTATTTAAGCTTTCACACTTTGTTGCAAACTTTATTAATATTAATTAAACTTTTTTAATGTTGATGTATTTACGTTCATTTGCTGGATTAGTAATTTTAGTTTATTTTACACAATGTTGTTTATAATTATATTCTATGAACTGTAAATATTTATTATTAAACACTACATTATTTATCTAGCTAAATATTTATGACTATTCTTGGAACATCATCATCATTAGTATAATTTTTCTCTGTTAATTTAGCAATTATTTTAATTATTTATAATTTAATGTATTTTCAATGTATAAATAGTTGAGTTTGTTTATAGATGGTAAGTTTTTTTTTGTAAAATTTTGTTTTATTATTACGGTACAAGTTATACTAAATAAGTGTTTGTTTTAAAAGTTGTAAATATTAATTATTAGAAATGATTGTTCATAGCTAGTTAAGCATTTACATAATTTATGGACTAAAATTTCACTATTTAAAATTGATTAAAATAATTCAATTAGATTTAATATAGAAATAGACTAGTTTATTTGTTCATGTTTAAATGTTTGTGGGGTTTTATTTTATTCGCACAATGTGTTATTTAATGATAATTTATAAATTGTAAATTATATTTGTTAAAAATTATGGTAAAAGACTAGTTAAATATTTATTTTGCACATGGGTTAGAACTACCACCGCCAACATTTTATTATTATTATTATTAAGAATATCCAAATTACTAATGATAAAAAAATAATTCAAACTAATATTAACTTAATTGCTAACATAAAAGTTATAAATAATTTGTTTTAAATTTTGCAAGCTACAAAACATTATTATTCAATAAACACTGAAAATCACAAATAAAATTTATCACGTATTTGTGAAACCAAAATAAAGTTATAATTAGTTAAATAAAAAATACTACAAACTATTGCGAAAAATCATCGTAATAACTTTAATTATTGGCATCACTTCAATGTACACTAAATAAAATAAATAGTATTGCTATCATTATAATTACACAATATCGACATACCTATCAAACATGTCTAGCCTAAAGTCAACACCGAAAAAATCATCTATATACAATTTATGCCACATTTTTCTTGTTTCATGCTACATTATAATAGTAATCGCATGTTTTTAATTGTTTACATACACCATAAGTAAGCCGTAGTGCAATAATTACAGCTTAATGTACACTTATGTAGTCATAATGAGTGCACATTTAGTACACTATAAGAGGGATCAATTAAAACAAGACTATTTTTATACCCAAATGCATCCAATAGTGCACATCATTTTAATTGTCGTAAATTATTAAATAAAGTTGCATAATTAATTTTTAAAATCAATAATTATACTTAAAACTAATAAACATTTATATATAGCTATAGTAAATAATAATTATTATTAAAACACAATATAAACTATACCTTAAGACCCATACCATCGACGGATAGGTCGCCGGCGATGGCCACCACTTTGTGTCGGACTTTATTGATATCGAGTGCGAAACTAAACAGTTTTGACTGTAATAGCGATTCAAGCCTTTGCTCACAACTCTGTCCCCTCTTCTCACGTATCAGTATATAAATGGTGTCTA